GATTTAAAAAAGCCTCCCCATATATGAGAAAATTTATAAACTTATACTTGTGATACATTTATAACAATTAAGAATGCTTTACTTACTTTGAACCAAACAGAAACTTCTTTTAAAATTAAAACAAATTAACATTTGTAGTTTTAATCTGAATTGACTACCAACTTTATTTTATGAATATATCATCTGAAAACGTTGATGTATGTTCATCAACTATAAATTAACTTTTAATAGGCAACAGTTTCTCAAAATTTGCCCCAATGACTCAGTCATCACTCTGAAGTATTTATCAACATCTAACCAGTTAGGATTTCTAATTATATTAAGGATGGGATTGGAGGTCTATTCAAATCAGTAAGAATAATGGGTTAGCACTGACTTTCTGTATTAATGAATGTGATTTTCAACTAAGCATATCTAAATACTTGCAATCCCACAGGCAGGAATTTTATATTAGTTGTGGGCATTTCCTAATATGTCATACCTGCATCATGACAAGCCAAAGCTCTCAGCATCTTCCCAGCACTACAACGGATTTGCTTTTCCTCATTGCACAGCATCTTCATCAGAAGAGTAAGGGCCCCGGTCTCCTTGAAAATGGTCATTAATGAGCCAATACTGGCATAAGCACTGAGTATATGGATGGTATTCAGTATGGATGACTGTGGAACAGGGATGCTTGCTAGTTGCCAGGAAGCTCGCTGCACCAGGTTCCTGACATCAGCTTTCATCTCTGCAAGAGAGGCTTCATCTAAAGTGTCTTCAGGAGGGAATAAGTTAGGTACATTCTGTTCCACCACTTGTTCCTTGGGCTTCCTCTTGCCTAGTAATATTGGGCAGTTGGCATATATATCCTCTGACGACATCCACATCAAGATTGTCTGTTTTTTACCTTCAGCTGAAGAGGTTTCGACACTGTTTTCTTTATCATTATCCAAGCAAAAGATGTTCCAGCGGATCAAGTACTCAGTACAGCCATTGTGACCACGACGTTGCCGAATTAACTCCTCAGGATAGGCTTGACGTTTGGGTCCAAGATGCACCACCACATCCCCATTTTGCCTTTTAATCCTCATGACAGGGAATGTATCTGCTGGTGTGATAAAAGGCAGGTTATGTCATGAAGAAAAACCAAAAAGGATTTCAGTCTAATAGCCCTGAGAAGAAAAATGCAGATGTCAACCCAGAGGACATCTTGGAGGCTTCAGGGTTGCCACACCACAGAGGGGAGGGGAAATAGTTAGGCGGGGTTTTGTAGCCCAAACAATAAAGTTTTCCTGTGGGAAACAAGGACATTCTCACAGGTGGCTGGACAGAGGAGGAGTGAAATAACTAAGTAACTGGCCAGCAACTGGACTGGACAGCATGACCAGTGACTTGAAGGAAAGGGGAAACTTTTACTTTTTAATTAGGGGAAAGCCGCAGGAATTTTAGACTCGGCTTTCACCAGTTGTGCCAATATGATGCTTCGAATAAACTGTTCTTTGAGGAACCTGCTTGCCTCAGAGTTCTCCTTTCTATGGGTACATTACTTGGAACGCTGACAGAAGGAATACTTGCTTTGGGATAACTATAGATTGCTATAAGAAAATTTGCCCAGCTAAGGGAAAGTTCATCAAGTAATTATTTCTGTTGGAATCAGAACTGACTTATCCATTAGGCACAGCAACTCAGTGCCAGTATTCTTTTTAATCATAAAGTCTAAATGAATACATTGTACTTATTTGATGCTTTTCAATAAATAAAAGGCAAGATATACATACAATTTGAACAGCAAAACAATGATATAGTGCGAACGGTAAAATTTAGTAACTTTGATGAGATATAAGAAACATAATTAATCAACAAGCTAATAAACATATCATTTACTATTTACAAATGCAAGAATCTGAATCTGAGCTGGTGTGAAACTTGGTTTTTTAATGCAGTTTTCAAACTTCCTGTTTAGGAAACATTTCTGTCAATCTTCCTCCATTCTGCTATGGGTCCCCCACGCATGACAGACCATTCTGCAATTGTTGCAGGGCGCTGTCCAACGTACTGGCAATCAAGACCCAGATATGGGTAACATACAAGACTGAAATAATGTTACAGTAGCACCACTTTTAAAGTTGTTCAAAACAGAGGTCATAAAAGGATGTACACATATAAGGTAAACGCTTGGTGTTCTGTTAAAGAGAGGACTTTAGCAGGAAACAGCTTTCTTTACTCTAGATGACAGATTCTTTTTTATAATACATTTATTATAAAGAAATTGTGCATCTAGATACACATAACCAACAAAAGAGCACCTCCAATATTGGTAACTATAGTTCTGGTAGATTTAAAGGGCTATATAAATTCTTTTATCTTTATAAAATCAGATCTGGAAAAAATTATGAAGTGCAATAAGATGAAAAATAGACACAAGGCATTTTTTCTAAGATTCAGCTATGCTTATCTGATGCTATTTATACAATCCCTACATCTAATTTTAACCAGAAAGGACAGTATCTGAATATTTATGAGCACTTCACATTATCTGATAAAATGCAAAAAACTAGTGCCTTTCTCAGTTTAATTCAGTCCAACTTGTGGGACTGCTATTTCCATCATCCATACTGAGATATGTTACAGAGGATAGATCAAAGTCTAGACCCAAGACAGCTTCTAGTTAAGAAACATGAAAATGTGTGATTTCCTGAGTGGTGACCATATTTATCTGTGCAGCATTTAACACGTTTCTACTTCAGATTTGGGGGGACTTTAAAATTCTTAAGGCTGAATTCACGCTGAACATGGCACCCACGCTAAGATAATGCTGCAGACGGAGGTGGTGGCCTGATGGAAAGCGTGCATAATCTCAAGTATCCAAGCGCCAGCCTTTCACACATGAGATGTCAATATATAAAAAGGACCGCTATTGATCGCTTTGTTTCCTTTTGAATTGATTTATTTTTCCTCGTTCTAGGCCAGGGGTAGGGAACCACTGCCCCCTTTATGATTTGTGGACTTCAAGTCCCAGAATTCCTGAGCCAGCCATGCTGACTCAGGAATTCTGGGATTTGAAGTCCACAAGTCATAAAGGGGCCACAGTTCCCCACCTTGAACAGCCGCCTCATGCCCAAGGTGCTCACAGGATTGCGCACCGGCTCGAGCCTATCGGTAACAGAGGAACGCAAGTCTCGGGGGGGCGGGGAGGGCGGAGCTTAAGGGCGGCTCGTCCTTCCTTGGAATGAAGAAGAGAAGGAACCCGCGGGAATCTTTTCCACCCAGACCGGGAGGCACCCGTGCAGTAGTAGCAAAGCCCGAAAGTCTTGAGCTTCAGCCTACCTTAAACGCGGCTCCAAAACTTAGCCGTAAAAGCAGCAAATCGCCGGCAAACCTTGCCTACCAACTTCCATTTATTTACCCTGCCCAGTCGCTGTCTCATCCACTTGTTCTGCGCATGTTGCCTTATTATTAAAGATGGTTACGGGTCCTCCGATAGGACATAATTATGCCAAGATCGCTTTTCAAAGGGGGCGGTTAAACTCAGGTTCTTGGAAAGAGATTAAAGGATTGCAGTATTCTTCTCCAGGCACCAGCGTTAGATACATTCTCGGAGTGTGAAATCAGATTTTTCTTTCCCGGGTCTTTTATTTCTTTCCAAGTTCACTAATTTGCGTTTGAACAGGAACTCCTGTGTGCTGATGTGCTACTGTAATGAAGTTAATACATTTTTATCAAAGAACTAGAAGGCAAAACATGCAACAATGGACGGAAATTAAATTGAAAAGCAACCTAGAACTAAGATAAATTTCTCAACGATGAGAACAATTAACCAGTGGAATGCTTTGCCTTCAGAAGCTGTGGGTGCCCCCTCACAGGAGGCTTTTAAGAAGAATCTGGACAGCCACTTGTCTGGAATGGTAGGGTGTCCTGCTTTAGCAGAGGTTTGGACTAAGTAACCTCCAAGGCACTCGCCATCTGTTGTTCTGTATTCTAAAATGGACTGTTCAGCACCCATCCCAAGAACAGGCAAGATAACTATATTTTATTTTAGTGAAAGTGTTAGTAATTCTTTAAAGGAGGTTTTCAAAACCAATTAAAACATTAAAGCAGACAAGCAGAAAATAACCTTGAATATGTGAATCTAGAGAAACAGCTGTGGCATCAAAATTAATTCACTTTTTATCATATTAGGTTTTGTGGATCTTAGTTCATTGTACCAGATAAATGGCATGAGCATAATCCTGAAAGGACAATATATGCAGCTGTTGTGAGGAAGGCTGAATAGTGAAAGGACTTTGAGACAGAGATGCTGCAGGAAATGGATATCTATTCTCCAAAGCACCTGATGGCAGGACAAGAAGCAATGGATAGAAAATAATCAAGGAGAGAAGCAACCTTAGAACTAAGAAAAAATTTCCTGATACTTAGAGAAAAATTAATCAGTGCCTTACACTGGAGGTTTTTAAAGAAAAGATTGGACAACCATTTGAACCATTTGAAAGAGCATAGGGTTTCCTGCTTCAGCAGGGGATTTGACTAAAAGACCTCTAAGGTGCCTTCCAACTTCGTTCTTCTGTTCTTCTATATAAAATATATTTGCTGTTATAACTGTATTCAAATTATTGAGTTATTTTCTTTGTGAGTTTGACAATGTATAGCAAATTTAATGAGAAAATACAAAAAGCCATAAAACATTTTTTTCTAAAATGGACTACAAAACAAGGAAATCAGTTTTATGACATTCCAAAACTCCTGTTTTGTGTACTAGTAGAGTTAAATTGTTTCTCAATAACTGGAAAGGATTAACTCTTTAGTGTAAGAATTTGAATTTCTCTGAAACTATGTTAGACATCAGAGTAAGGGACATCTTCTTATAGAGCTTTTAAGAAGTCTAAAAACAATTTAAAAGCCTTAAGCTCACTAACTCTGTGTAGGGTTGGACTGTAACTGTACCAGCTTCATACCAATAAGCTGTTTTCTCAATAGATTTCACCAATATCAAAACAAGAGGGGAAAAAGAGTAGCTTTGCCAAGTTTGATAATACACTTTATTTAACAGAATCCTAAAGAGCTACTAATGTCAGCCCTCTGAGGCTGGCACTGGCAGGTTCACATAACTTTTTATTGCTGGGAGGGGCCTGATCTTGCGTCCAGCCCATCCCCCTTTCCGCTGCCATAAACCACTATCTGGTCGCTTTCCTAGCCACCGGTTCCGACCAGCTTTCCCAAGGATTCGTTGGTTATGCTCAACATTAGAAACTCGTCCCACTGTAGCCATGCATGTTTCCAGCACCTGTAAAAGAGGAAGCAGAATATTCCAGATATTTGTAGGCACCAGGCACAATAATTCTATTCTTTGTGCTTTCAATAGCTTTTAAATGTTCAAGATCATAGGTGAGAGAGAGGAAGACTGCCTTGAAGTCACTCCAACAGAACCATCCCCTTCTAACCCAGAGTCATTTCTTAACATCCTCCCTGTGAGAAGAAACCTAGTAACCTGTTTTATATATATAATCATAGCATCATCATCTTGATTTTTGAAGGCAAGTTCTGAACAATTTGATTCAACACAGAAATATTCACTTGATGAGCCCACATAAATTTCCCCACTACTAGTATTTGCAATGGAGCAAGGTACGCAGAGTAATACAAGCAACATTTCAGGATCACCACACAAGCTCCCCCCCCCATCATCTACATGTGGCACCTCCCAAAAGATGCATCGCTTGTAGGGAAGCACTGATGAATAAAGCAAAACAGATGATGTTCTTCCCCATCAAGACAATTCTAGGCATCAAAGGAGCGTTGCCTTTTATCTTAACTAATACTCCCACACTCTAAAGGGCTTACCTGTATTTGCCTCTTGGAGGGCAACTGTATAATGACCGTTCCACTCACTTTCCTCAGTAATACCCCACAGGTGCCTAAAAAAGAAAGTGTCAGCAAGACTGCAATGTTTTGACTGAACAGAACACTGAATTAGACTAACAGAGAAATCACCCAACCACAATCTTTTTTCAACCTATTCCAATAGGAACATCAATCCAGGATCTGCTATAGGCCAGTTTTGCCTAATGTGATATCCTAAAGCTGCACTGGCAACCATCATACAAAGTTAGCATCTGGCATCAACCCCTTGGCATTTGAGGTTGGAGTCATTATATAGTATCTTGTATCCAGTTCATTGTGTCGGATATGAATACATTTGCATGATAATCTGAAACTAGACTGAACACAGCATCAAATTAATACTCTTGTTGTGTGCATTGGACCTCTATTAAATATCATCTCTGGGTTTCCATCATCAGCATAGATTTAAAAACTAAAACACATTCTGAAGATTATGTTCTATAATACCTAATGTAGTATATTCACCCTCTTTTTAATTAACATAGTTAGAATTGACTGGCATGAGTGCTGATTGTAATTTATTTGCTGACTGTGTGAACATTCCACATTAATTGAACAAAATGATTTAGGAAAGGTTCATACATACATAAGAGTTTCTCCTATCCCATTCTGGAATATGCAGTACTTTTTACCACTTTTTGTATTAGGCATCTAAGCCTAATAAAGGCTAAGAAAGTGTGGTTAAGCTAAGAAAGTGTGGTTGAAGGGATCTTTGACTACCCTAGGTTTCATTTTGCCATCTAACACTTACCAGTTGCAGTTCGTTTGCTTTTGTCAAACATGATTGCTCAACAGCCAACATAGTAAGAGTAAATCTTATTTAAAGATCAACTGCTAAGTAGGAAGAACAATATGACTCTCAAGAAACTGTCAGTATTCTGTTGCAGGTTTCAAAACCAACATACAAAAGTACAATTTTATTGAATGACCTTCAGAACACCTTCTAAAAAGAAGTCAAAACAGGAAAGAAAATAGGAAATGGACTCAAAACACAAAAGCATCAACAGTTTTGGTAAATTGGACTGGAAAGAAACCAAAGACTCCCAAAGCCAGGACTGCTATGGTTCTGACTGTCCAGATTTGCTTCATTCTTCCAAACTGTTTCTGGCTTCTACTAGATCCTGACCTGCTGCTCGGATATATTGTGCTCCTTTTCCAGGATGACTCTCCAAGTTATTTATGAGGGTTCCAAGTGGTAGAGCTCCAACTGGATATGAATCCCCCTCATTCGCAGAGACTGAAAGACAAAAAAATAAGGATATTGAATATAAACACAGCAAATAAACGTGGCAAGAAAAGAGTAGTATACCAGAGAAAAATAAATAAAATCTCTGCAAAATATTGGGGAAGAAATGAACTTAGCTCTTATGCAGGAGCTAAGTACCAGCAGGAGGACAGAAGGGGAAGCAAGGAGCTGCAGCCAAATGTGTATATATTCATGCACATTTTTAGGGAGAGATGCATAGATTAGGCTCAAATAGACAAGCCTAAGAATAAGACAGGATCACTTAATTTTTTTAAAAAAGTCACAATTAATACTTCTCAAATATTTTTGGTCTACAATGGAGTCTTTCATGCATTCTGATTTGGGTTTTGATGTGCAGACATTTCATCATCTAATTAGGTAACATCATCAGTGCAAGCAAGTGTAGGTTTGCTCCCTGTTTGGATGAGAAAGTTTTTCTCATCATCAGAATGGTTTTCTCCCAGAACACAGAAAGATGCTGACAACCACTATCAAGACTATACTTCTATACACATTGACAAAAGGAAAACAAAACTCCAAACCAAATTGGTGAAGCTAAACTCCAGAAGCAAAGAGATACCCAACTTGGTAATTAATATGTCCAGTCACCCAATATCCACCACAGAACACAATATCCTCCAGAAATATCCCAACTATAGCATAGAGGATATCAATCAGTAAGAATTCTTTGCAGCCTGGGAAGCAGCATTTAAAATCACAGGACTTGCCACAGTGATTCAAGAAAACATCTAGTACTGATCATGCTATCTAGTTTGATAATGAAACATCGGCAAGAAAATAACCAAGCTCAGAAAGCACCAAGAATGCCACAGTTAAAACTCTGAATTACAAATATTCTCAGTAAGAAAACATATGGCAGACATACTACAGACCAGAAAACAGAATCAGAACTAACTTAAAGCAGCACTTTGAGGCAGGACACAGCAGCACTCAAAAACCTATAGAATGATCAAAACCATCATTATTCTCTCAGCAGACAAAGGCCATACCAAAGTTATCATGGGCAGAACACAATACTCATAAAAAGCCAAGGAACTACTGGAGGACAAATAAACCTACTTCCTATAAACACCAACTCAATCCAGAAACGGAATAATCAGATCAAGATAACCCTTAACAACTTAACCAAGAAATGTCAAATAACAAAAGAACAGTGGCAGGATATTTTGGAAGGGTATTAAAACTTGGATTTGTTTATTGGCTTGGGGCCTTAAGAGCTGCTCCCCACTGGAGGTAGTTGATGGGATAAGAAGACCTCATCTCATTGTCATTCGTCGTCTTGGGTCTGCTTTTTTGCATAGTTTTAAATTTGTAATGTGCATAATTTAAAATTGCTTTTCTTTTTATCTTTATCTGATTTGTAAGCTATCCAGAGCCACCTTATAGATGCATATAAATTTAATAAATAAATGTATACACGCCCAACATATCACTTCATTCATAGATCCAGAACTAGCCAAAGAATCCTTTACTGCAGTGCTACACAACACCCTGGCCTACACAAATACACTATGATTGAAATTTCCAGATTCATGGATCTCCTCAACCTCTGCCTCACAACGTACTTTCAGCTTGACAGACAAATATACCAATAACTCTCAGGAAGCCCGGTAGGATCACCATTCTCAGAATTCATAGCACAGACCATAATATAGCATTTAGAAGCTGCAGCACTGTCATACACAAAACCAAAAGTATGGATCTAATATGTAGACAACACTTTGTCATAATAAAAAAGGAACAACATGAAACAATCAACATCTTCAAAGAAATATGACAAAAAACAGCACACTATTTTTCCTAGATATTCTCATCAGCAGAGGAATTGATAGCAAATTAGAAATTCAAGTCTATCAAACTCAATCAACATTAATGCTCCATTACCAATGTAACAACCCAGCCTCTCACAAGAGCTGCTATGTAAAAACATTATTCAGACAAGGACAAGCACACTACAGCAACCCAAAAAAGCACAAATTGGAATTAGACCACTAAACAAATGATTATACAACATCTTCCAAAAAACGCAAACCCATGAAAGTTTATCAAAAAGTGCCTGAACACTCAACCCAATATAGCACAACCAACACAAACCATGAAAAGGATAACACTTTATAAACATGTCAAAAACTACAAAAAGACTGTTATGACTCTATGACATCACTGTAGCACCCAAACCTAGGTTACATAGTAGACTGTCAGGGTTCCAGCGATTGCCCTAATTAAATCAGCCTCGAGCCAAGCTTCAAAAGAATCCAAAAGATATAGCCAATCCTTCAATATTAATACTATCAGCTTGTAATGTGATGCAAAAAGTCTACCTCAATTTTTTTTGCTTAACTTTAGGTTGCCATATAAGATAATCATAAACTGGGAGTATCTTAGTAACATTTTAGAAGAAGTAATATATCTTGAAACCTAGCCATACCCATCTTTAGTAGCTTAAGTAGCATTTCAAATATTTACCTGCCATCCTTTCTATTTTTCCTGAAGTCTTGATGATGTCACCAGCCACCATGTTTTCAGTTGCAATGATCCAGCGTTTCCGCTTCTCTCCAGCCACTAGAGCTATATGACCTGATCTTCAAAGGGAACAAAATAAATAAATCAATAAAAGATGAACCGTTCCAAGTATTAGTTTTATTAGCTCAAAATAAAAAGTAAACTAGCTGGGCAAGAAAGATAGTGCCAAACATTTTTGTACAACTGTTTAGAGATCAGCATTCTAAGCTAATCAAGCAGATTGCTTGCTTCTCAGTGAGATTTTGGAGAGAAAGCTGATACCCATTCCCAGTTACATCAAGACCTTTGCTTTATATAGGCTGCTCTGACTTCCATTCCTGAAGACAATGAAAAATAGCTTCTTGATATGAACCATGGAATGACCTATTTAGACAATAAATGCAAAGTGAAAAATAGCTTCTTGATGTAAACTAGAGAATGATCTATTTAGATAAAAATGTGTTTAAAAGTACACATCTTCTACCAGCTGTCTTGTCCTAATGCTCCATTTCATTAGTTTCTCTATAGTAGTTTAGTTTCCTTACAGTGATCAATTACTTTTCCAATGTTACTTAACAAACTCAATCTTGATAACGTTCTTTTCATGGGATTATCTTTTCTCCAGGACTTTTTCGTACTAAGAATTCCGTATACAGTGTTTTAAGATTATCAAATTGGTCCGAATCTACAGATACTTTCCTTATGTTTGGCTGTTGCTGTCAAGCAATAATAGTATTTACAAAATCAAGATGAAATTGAAACTCAAAAAACTTTCGATCTGCTTGTCAACTCAGTTGCCTATTACTTACCTACAGGGATCATATCGGACCAAAAGTACTTTTTCCTCAAATGGACTAGGGTCTGCTGCATCTGGATAGCGCAATCTTTGGAAATCAATCATACGATAGCATTGTTTATTTCCTCCTCCAATTCCATGCACACGAATACGACCTTATGGTGGAAACAGTACTTTTTAACAATCATGTATTGCACTGAAACACTATATTCCAGCTTCAAGATTTTCTTTTTACAAATCTCAAAAGTGAATGGAATGAGAATTCATTGTTATCACTGAGCTCACATAAGATATTCAAGCGAGAATATCTTAATTTCACAAAATTTGGCGATTTTACAAGAATTTTGCATTTTCACTTTAATTAATTTGGAGAGCCTATAGATAGCATTCCATGAGGGTTTCTGGGAATCATATTCCCAAACCCTGTTATATCAAATAAATGGTTTAAAAAATTAATCACGGAAGAATCTCTAGCAACCCTATTTTCATGAAAGTTGACAAAAATTATAGAGACTAAAGATAAAAGTCCAAAATGCCTATTGTTTTATGTTGGAAAAGAAATATACTTGCTTTCAAATTTATGTTAATCTGGAGAAAAAGATGAAGAAAAAGTTCAAAATATTATTTGGTATTTCGTTTCTTACAGTAGATCCAAGGCCTAATTTAAAATTTTTTTATATCTGTTCCTTGTTTAGCAATGAGCTTGGTTAGAAACCACTTGCAAATACAACAGTTATTAAACATTCGTTTTCTGACCAATATTCACATTTACATCAAATTTCATGCACCTGACAACAATGCACATCAGAATGAGAGTAATACTGGCACAGTATTAACTGAATGAGAAACAGCAGTCAGTGATCTTTGCAGCATGCCTTTCTGTCACATTAGCGACATTTTGCTTAACGATCAAGTCACTGGAAGAAATTCAATCACTAAACTGGGTTTAGGTAATTAGTATAAAGATTTAATATAAAATCATTAAATATAATTAATAATATAATTAAATTATATAATCAACATGTGACTCAGAGCAAAGTATATAAATAATATGCATCTGGGTTCAGTTCAAAGTGCTGGTGATGTCCCCTAAAGCAGGGGTCGCCAACCTTTTGGACCTCAGGGACCACCAAACTCATAATTTTAGATCCCAGGGACCACTAGCTGGTTCTGTGGGTGTGGGTTGGTGGTCATGTGACTGGCTGGGCATGTCTTGTATGTAAATATTATAAATATTTATATAACTATTGAATTTTTTATGAAAAAAGAGCAACTTTTACCCAAAATCAGGCAAAGCAAGCAGGCAGATTGAGTTGCTCACAGAATCACAGCTTCATTCAGAAATCTATCTGCCATTGGTTAGCTCAGTCTGTCACATAAAATTTGCTTGCAAGCAAACTCATAACATTTACTAGCAAGCAAACCCACAAGATTAACTCACAACACACCATGCATGTAAATATTGCATTTTTTATTTTTTTTAAAGAGCAACTTTTACCCAAAATCAGGCAAAGCAGGCAGGCAGATTGAGTTGCTCACAGAATCACAGATTCATTCAGAAATCTATCTATCTGCCATTGGTTAGCTCAGTCTGTCACATAAAATTTGCTTGCAAGCAAACTCATAAAATTAACTCACAATACACCATGTATGTAAATACTGAATTTTTTATAAAAAAAGAACAACTTTTACCCAAAATCGGGCAAAGCATGCAGATTGAGTTGCTCACAGAATCATTCAGTGATCTATCTATCTGCCATCAGCTAGCTCAGTCTCTCAAATTTGCTTGCTGTGAGTCTGCACTGAATTTGCTTGCAAGCAAACCTTCAGTCCTAAGGGAGGTCCGGCTGTACTAGCTAGAAAGCAAGAAATCCAACCATTTTCTGCTTCCTAGCTAATCTAAATCTCCCAGCACAGCAGAACAGATGATGGTCGGAAAAAGGAAAAATAGAAATTTAGCAGGCAAGTTTACTGGGTAAGGAGTGGGCGGGGAGGGCTCCTGCGGGCCATGTGGGTGGCACAGCCTTGTGTTTCTGCGCAGCCTCGATTAATTGCTTTGGAGGGGTGCTCTGGGGGTGAGATTTCTCTCAGTGGGCCATGGCCCACCGGTTGGCGACCGCTGCTCTAAAGCCCTTCATGGAATGGGACTAGTTATTTCAGGGACTAGTCTCCCTGGTTACATCTATCTATCCCATTAGTTCTGGCAAGGGAGGCATGTTCCAGGTCCTATTTACTAAGGAATGCAATCTGACAGGCCCAGGAGGAAAACTCTTTGGTCACCATCCCTCAGACTCCCCTGTACTACCGGCCTTTCATAAGTCCTTAAAGATATGGTTTTCTCACTGGGCTTTGGCATCCAAATGTGCGGGACAGCCTGTACAGTGGTTGAGTTTGATTAATGTTTTTATCAGGATTACTGTTTTTATCAGGTTTAATTGTGTTGAATGGGGTTTTTTATAGCTTTATATCCTTTTCATATTGTATTCCTTTTTTATATATTTTCAATTGTTGTAAGCCATACAGAGAAATGTGGGATAGCTCTGTAAATTACAATAAATTATAAATTCAATTAAAAACTGATCTATTGTTGACACTTCCGGTTTGTCGGCTTCGGTGACAGCAGGGATTCGCTTTTCTCCGCGATCCCTGCTGTGCTAGCCGCCTTGGTGCCTCCGATCCTGATGGATTTGGAGGCTAAGGCTGCCCTGTTGGGGCAGCTGAAGAAAGGGGGGATCCGGACAGGGGTTGAGAGGTATCGCAAACCCCCTCCCCAGCCGGCAATAACCCCCTTCTCTCAAGACGGTGGAGCGGCGGTCTTTATGGCCGCCATAAAGAAGCCGGCAACTGGATAAAGAATGTGCAGGAGGAAGAAGAAGGAGTTTTAAAACGAAAGTTTTTTCTTGGTCGAACTGGGACCTTAAGGACATATTTAACACCTGGGAAAATATTGGCTTTTTTCTGGACGCTACAATGTTCCCGACTGATGTTTTCAGCGGTGAAGAAAAGTGATGAAAAGGGGAAGTTACTCTCCCTCCCTTATGGAATTAACAAATGGACAAGGGAAACCTGCCTTTTGATAGAAGGTAAAACCTAAACTCCTTTGTTATAAGTGGGAAGGGAGAGGCTTGGAAAAAAAAAATTTACTCTAAGACTTTGCTGGAGGAGATGCCTTGAAGATAAAGAGAATAGAAATTAATTTTAAAAAAGATTTAAAGCACAGACTGGATGTTTTTTCTTTCCCTAATTTGACTTCACCCCTAGAAGAGAAATTGTAAAAAGAAGAAGTTTGTACTCTGCCTGGACTGTTTGATGATTGCGGGATTTGGGGACTTTTGGGAACTGTTTTAAGTTTGGAAATAACTGATTGGCTTAATAATAAGAAGAGGATACAGAAAAAGAAGAAGAAACAGTTCAAAATGGCTCTATCTCTTGATGAACTAAAAAAACAATATTTAAAAATAAGGAAAGAAGGCAAAGATGTTATGGGAGAAGCCCTTTGTTTCCTAGATATGGCGCTTGTCATGTGTCAGCAAATTAAACAACAGCTGGAAGAAGCCGAGGAAGAAGAAGCCATTTTTAATGAACTAAATGGTGTGACTAAGAAAGAAAGGAGAAAGAGAGGAGCGAAAAGGAAGGACTTAAGAAATAAAAAAATATTTATGAAAGAGAAAAAGAAGATGCAAAAACAACAGAATGCTAGAAAGCAAAAGGAAAGAGGAATGCAACAGAAAGGGGAAACCAAGAAGGCAGAGGTTTGGAGAGGAGGGGGTAAAAAGTCTAGGCGGGCTAAGAAGGAAAGGGAAAAGGGGGGAAAAAGTTACAAAGGTATAAAACAAGATGGAGAAAAGAAAATTTTTTTTTAGGGATAATGGGTAATGTATGGGGTTTTTTTTAAAAAAAAGGGGGATTCTGCAAAGTACACATGAGTATTGTAATAGTGGTATTTGTATTATAAGTAGATAATCAGAACTTTTTAAGATCTAATAAAAGACTAAAATATTAAGGTATAAAATGTTTAATAATGAATGATATTAAGTTTTAATAAAATACTAAAGGGAATGTTTAAAATATTAGTTTAAATATAGAGTTTAATGGATTAATGTGTTGACTGTTATGGATTTATTATTGTAGTATTGGTTTCTGAAATAGTAGAATGTACTAAGCAGAATCTGATTGGGTTTTAGGTGTTATTTTAAATTTTAATTTAGGGGAATGATAGAAAGGCATTATACTCTGATTAGTGATTCCAGGGGAAACTATTCTTTTTTATATTGGAAATGAGACAGATGTAAATGGAGAAATGGACAAAAGATATAAAAATATTTTTCTTTAAAGCAAGATTAAATATATAAAACAGAATTAAGATGAGGCAAAAGTGGAGAGGAGTTATATAATAGATATAGAATGGTAAACAAGATAGGTAATGGTATATAAGAAGAGCATGAATTCAATTGAAGTCCATAGAAAAAGAGGTAATCTGGGGCCAAGTTACTTTCTAAAAGAAAGTTTTATGTTTTTATGTTTATGTCTTATGTGTGTGTGTTCAATTAAGAATTAAATAATAAAATCTCGGAGGAAGACTAGATGAGAATAATTATAAACAAGCCAGAGGAAAATATAAATATGATGATTGAATAGCAGATAAATTAGAAAGGAAATATGATTGAATAATGATTAAAGAGAAACAATGTGGAATTTGGTAAAGGGAATTTACGTGTTTATATGGAAATGGGATAAATTATAAGTATGTGATATAAAGCAATGTGTTACCTGCCTTGTAAAGATTTACAATGGAAAGAGGTTTTATGTTTTTAATGTTTAATGATGTTTTGTTTTGTTTGTAAAATCAATAAAACTTGTTTAAAAAAAACTGATCTATTGTTGAATACTATTTTCCTTTGCCAGATAGATAATAGTTTTCATGTGGCTGATTATTATTTGTTCAGCTGAATAATCTATTTTACATAATTCTTTTATTATAAAATGATAGTTTATAATAGTTAATTGTAAACTGTCCTCATTAATATGCATTAGAAGTGTGAAATCTAAATCTTCAAATAAATGAATACAGAATACTCATAGTACTGTAGTACATGAACTCTAAATATACCATTTTGTGAATGCCGTGGTACTAAACACAATATCCTTTGCAAACATGGATTTTAAGCCATTAAGAACATTATCACTTATGTTCACACAGCACACCTTGCCATATGTTTTTGTAACTCACTCATAACATATACTGCAAATCAATGGCATATCCATACAAAATGACTCCATAGAACGCCAGAAATGGTCAACTGATAGAATTAAATCAGACTGAATTAGCCACCCAATGAGATCAATGGACAAATCAATAGAATTGCAGCAATTCTCATGGAGGATTTACAAATCTCCCCAGAAATTCCATTGGCTGTTATCTAGAGTTCACAGCTAGTCACACCCATTATTAATAAGCTATAACCAATACTCAGCAAAGAGACTATTTTGACAGGCATTGGATGACAGGCCCATACGTACTGATAACCACCCAATCTGCAGCAAGAACAAGAAATAACATAACAATGATACTAACAAGGAACAAGACACTGCAACAAATCAAGACATCTATTTTGCTCCCATATTTATACCACCAGCATTATCACAAATTCCATCAACTTCACATACATGATAAGACCCCTTCACATGCTTTTCTTCTCATGTAAGATATATCATTATTTGCAGTGCCCTTCTGGATTCAATATGGGACTAAACAAGCAATGCTTTGCACAAAATAATACTCAGACATCAAGAATCAAAATACAAAAAAAGTAATATTTGAGTATTTCAAACTTCTAGGCATTCCATTCCTGATATCAAAGTACTCATTTTGGATACAAGAAATTTCACTAGTACATCATGCAAAAGATTGTTGAGCTTACATACAATGGAAGGTTTCAGAACAACAAACAACAAACACAATGAATTTTTAACACATTATAATCATTGATACAATACTTGTTCCAATGTAACTGGTATCAGCATAACCAACCTACCTCTTTCCCTCTTCTCCTTTCCCTCCCAGTTTAAATCCTACAACACTCTAGTCACTCCTTTGCATTTGATGAAGTGAAAAAAACCTACAGAGACAGAATTGCAGTTCAGAACGTACCTGTGTGATCTCGACCTCCTGTTTTTGGTTTGGGAATTGGCTTAATGGTATACTTTGTCCTGCATTTCCATAGAGGATCTCTAGCTAACACAGAGGTAGAAGTACTGATTTCACGGGATAAATCAAGTTGGCTAATAAGATAAAGCGGGCGGAAAGATGCAGGGATCTAGTAAAGGCAAGAAAAGCAAACAACAGGATATGATGAATTGTAAATGTTTAACTGTGGGGGCATAACTGGATATAACATGAACAAAAAGATTTCATCTTTGTTGTTTAATGTTTTAAAAAATATACCTTCATATACAAAGACAATTTAGCAGCAAAGTTCTAAAACATTTTGTTATTATATGTTAAATACAAAGCCATTTTTGCAGGTTTCCTACAAAATGCAAGCTGCTTCCTCTAAAAATCAATTGCATATAATAAGCAAGGATATTCAAAACTAAAAATGTTAGTCAAAATAGATACCTGATTATTAAATCCATTAACATTAATTAAGATGTTCACCCTATTTATGTGTTTGAATCAGGAGCATTTATTTTATATTAGAGGAGAAAAGGCTTCTGCAAATGTCTACAAATATTTACACAAACTGTTCTCAGAATCTCTCAAATATCAATCTCACTGAAAGATTGTGCCTTGAAAGTTAAAGCTTAGTTCAGGTCTTTATATGGCAGGGGGGAAAAGATGGTATAAAGTCCACTAAGTAATTCTACTCAGAAAGAGAATATTATGTTTCTATCCCACTTTTCTCTTATCAGTTTATATAGGAGCCTTGAGCTCATATGCGAGTTATATTAGAGATATTTGCCTGGAAGAAGAGCACTACTACAAGAAGATCCAGAATCCTCTATGATTTATAATCCATTTGGCCAAAACATCAAAGTGAATGTACCTGTGGGAAATGAGGACCCGAAGACAACAGCAGGGAACCAAAGGTCCTGATCAAGTTTGATATTGCCATTAGGAATAACTACTTGTTTTCTGCTGCAAACAGAAATAAGACAATGACAATTAGAGTTAACACATACATCTTAACCCTTTCATTTCATAAGCAAATCTACACCTTCAATTCCTTCCATATATTCATGATCTTCACACAATCATACTACTTTTATTCAGCTCTATCACAGTCTTCCCAGTTTCTCTTTGTTTGACACAGAACACATAGGCCGCTGGAACCAGCAGACCAGGTTGTTAATGAAAGCATTCACATAGAATTGTATTATTAAAAGCACAAGCAGGGGAAATGTATTTTATATTTGTAATATTTCTGTTTGACAGATTGCTGTACAGGACAATTGCAGAGGATGAACTGCATTGTACTCTAAAAGGCAGATATGAAATAACAGGTTTATCCTTAAATCATTTTGCAGAGGATCGCGGTCATATTTGCAAAAACACATTTCGCTGCCATCTTTCTCACTTTATTTAGCTGAAGTCAGAAGATATGGTTTCTTTTTTTTTAGTCACAGATCATTTGAGACCCGCTGACTTTGAATTAGTTTCTCCCTCTCCCCTAAGATCACGCACAGAATGAATTGAACGAGGATGTTTTTATAACTAGAAAATGTTTACAGAGCTGTCTCTTCTGGGATACAGAAGGGATATTCCGGTAATAGTATTTCTTTTTGGTGGAGTGAAGTTCTCCCGATCTGCCCGCACCTACCCACAATCGCACCTCACAGCGCAGCCATATCGCGGTCTCGTTCTGCCTGCTCCAAACCGAGCATGCGCACTCTGACCCGGAACAACAATAAGAAGAAGCGGAAAGCTTTGCCTATGCCGCTGGTTTTCACGTAGAAGGGATCTGGCTTTCATAAGCTTGATCCCCAGATGGGGTTGCGTTGCAATTCTCATTGCCCCGGCCAGGAAAGCAATAATCGAAATGGTAGGAACTGAAGTCCCACTTGGAGAAGGAGCTGCTTAATCTTTTTTGTTACCATACATAAGACTCACAACCTGTGCCCCTCCCCCTCAGAATGCACGTTCAAGAAATGTAGACTATCCATTTAAAATGGGTTGGGTCTTTTCTTATTCAAACTTTTCTTGGGGGGGGGGGATAGTGGCGTAATCTTCTGGCGATCTACCCAGAACTATTCGATTTATTAAACATTATTTGCTTGAATATGGATTATTTTTTTTTGTTCTCCGGCCTTTAAAACTGTTGGTGGATAGAAGTGAAGTTTCCGATCTCCTATATCGGAAACAGCCTGACTTTAATTTGTTACAATTAAAAGACATCGCAGCCGTTTCGATAGATTCTCCTTGGCAGTTAGTCGCTTGACAAGGTGATCCTTAGTCGTGGCTAGACGATTGCGCCCTCTCTGGCTCTTTGGGCAGTAAAGTTCATTAAAAAAAAAGCGACCAATTCTCTCCCCCCCCCTTTTAAGGGCAGAAGCGAGGCGCCACCGAAAGTGGGTTGCAAAAGTCCTCGCAATCGCTAGGTAGCAGCAAACCTATTTACAAGTTCTAAAGCAGGGGTCTTCAAACGTGACAGCTTTAAGACTTATGGACTTCAACTCCCAGAATTCCTACTCCAGTCATGTTAGCTCAGGAATTCTGGGAGATGAAGTCCACAAGTCTGAAACTTGCCTTGTAAGCCTTACGCTTTTCCATGCTGTACGAGCCGTATGGAGTTTTGCAGCCCGGAGCCAGTAATTGGAATCACAATTGATAAAAGAGGGGTTCAAAGTTTATCCACGTGGTCGTGAAGAGTAGACAGCGAATTGATGACACATAATTAATCAAAGTCTATCGAAATTCTCAGTCATCCAAGTCATGATTGTCCCAAAGGTGCTTTTTTTCAGGAGGCAACTGGACTTTCTTGTTTTTTTCTTTTGAAGACATTTCGCTTCTCATCCAAGCTAAATGAAGAAGCTTCTTTGGCTGAAGAAGCGAAACGTCTTCAAAAGAAAAAACAAGAAAGTCCAGTTGCTTCCTGAAAAAAGCACCTTTGGGACAATTAGTCAAAACCTAGCTCAGTGTTTTTCAACTTCGGCAATTTTAAAAAGTGTGGATATTAATGTTGCCGAAGTTTAAAAATTACTCAACTAGCTTATAAATTACACCACGTACAAGTCCGCGCCCTCTCCCCTCGTTTCCCCCTTTAAAGGGAAAAATCAGCTCTCCAGATGCATTTCGGGACGCCACCGGCTATCGGCAGGCGGCCATATTGGACTTAAAGGGGCTGCGGCAAAAAGGGGAGGAGCCAGAGTGGGAACTGTTGTTCTTCTTTCAGGAGCGGCTTGGGGAGAACGGGAGTCTATTAAGCGCATGCGCGCTTCCTCCTCCATCCTCTGATTCTTCTCGAGACCCGAAGGAGGCCCAGGTAGGAGCTTCTCCGTGCCTCTTTCTCTCTTACGGAGGCGGGGACGTGGTGAGTATCTTCGTGGAAAGCGCCCATCTTGGCCCGAGAAGCACTTAGCCTGTCTTGACAGCCGAGCATAACAGCCGGTTAGAGAGGTTGTGGTGGTAGAGGGGGGCTCCAGAGTCTTCCCCCTTCCCGGCAGGAGCGGGTGACCCTTTCTGGAGAGAGAAAAGCTACAATACTGGCTGAAAATAGCAGTTTTTGCATAGGCGTTTATGTAATTTTACACTTGCGTATGTTTTACGGAAGAGACTCTCCATAGACATGTTTATGGAAGTAAATGCAATTTAAGTGACCGAGCTAATCCATCTCCATTTGAAAAGCTTCGTTTTCATTCTTATATAGGGGAATTAGGAGGAGCCTGAATTTTTTTGCCCTTACAGATACAATTGGATGCGAGGGTGAATCCGGGCATACATTTAGCCTGGAGGCACATCATTAGACATTGAGACATAATGTCTCAAATCCTGCCTTTTCTACTCACCACCATCACTCACATGCACACAATCCCTGTGGCCAACTCCTTATTTGTGGTTCAGTTGTCATTGTGTTTCCTTCTGGAAGGGTGTGTCTCTGCATTGCTGGCACAGCAAAAGGCAAGTCTCCGGGCTGTGGGGCAGGTGCTGCTCTTTTGCTGACAGGAGTTGTCTAATTTATGAGAAAGGAGGAGCCGATCAGGGCCAGTGCTGTCTTTTCTACTTCTCCACCTGTCTAAGAAAGTGATTCAAAACAGCTGCTATTAGGATAAGTTTTGGATTCCTTGGGGATGTTGGATACGGGTGATGTCTTTATCTTCTTGGAATATTATTACGTCTGAGCTGTACACGTGAATTGGTTTGATATCAGTCTGCTGCATTTTTTGTTGTTGCAATATTTCCCACCAAATTGGTACTGTAAAAGTTGAAGTATTTAGAACCAGGGATAAAATTATGGGTTAGACATCATTAATCTGGAAGTAATAACTACAAGTCCTTCTTGTTTAGTGTTTTCCTTCCCCATTCTCTTCTCTGATGTGAGAGAACTCTTTAACATATCTGCTATATTTTCTATGGCTACAGTGTGGTAAAGTGAATCCTGTGATGTAATATTTTTATAATTCTGTTATTGCTTATTTCCTTTATATAAAGATTTCAGGCCTATGTGATAATCTTTTGAATGGACTTCTGTTACAGTTCACTCTTTTATTAATCATTCAGATGACTGAAATTTTGATCTTTGAAGCCAGTTTTGGGAGGAGGAAACGGCGTGCTTAATTGCAAGGTTCCATGTGTATGTGGCACTTTCTATATATATAATCATGATGCTATTGCATTTGTGTGGCTGTGGGCTGTGCCATCCTGCAGAATGGAAATTTAATGGATTCTTCCATGCTAAAACTTTAGGCAGCCCTTTAAAAATAATTATTGTCAGATGTAATCATATCCAGAATTAGATATATGTAGTTTATGTTACATATGATGAAAGTTTTCATCTTTTGAAAGTCTTTTTTTAACAAGATATCAAAACAAAAGATACTTCTGTTTCATCTTAAGTGTAACTTTTTGTTACATTTAACAGAAGATGGAAGTGGTGATGATTATCAGTTTTGCCATCTAAGCAAGAGTTGTCTCCCAACTCCAGCTGGCTAGATGCTTCTGGTACGTTTATTATTTATTAAATTTGTTTGCTGCTAATCTCACCAAAGAGATTACTATGACTCTTTTTTGTACATAGGTTCTATATTGATACCATGTTGTTATTTCTTGAACGTTTAGAAATTGACTTTCAAATATATTGGCCTACGGTTCCAAGAGTATGCATCATGTAATAGTGGAAATGAAATAATAATAATTAGAAACCAGTACTACAGGAGAGCAGCAAGGAGGTGCTTTAATACAATTTTTTTTTCTAAAAGTAATATTGAGTCAAACCTTGAATGTATGTATATATATGTGTGTGTGTGTGTGTGTGTGTGTGTGTGTGTGTGTGTATACTCTATTTGAAGAAACAAACATGTAAGTTAGGTAGCCTAAGCATTACTTATTTTGGCTTGCTTCAAAGGAAAGAAAGATAAATAAGATTTTATTTTTAAAATAAACATTAGTATTTCAAAATATTGATTATTACTAAGGTTGCAGTCCTCAGCATAGCCAATTAATAGCAGGAATGATTATAATAATTTCAAAAATATTTTTAAATGCCAATTTTAGTGTTGTTAAACTATTTGTTAAAAATGGATATAGCTCAAATATATGATCATGGATATAACTTCTAATTATATTCTGTTTGACTTATTAATATTGAAATAAGTTAACCAATATGGTAAACTTTCTAAAAGTGAGAAAGCAAAGACAGACAAAAGAGAATTTGAGGTAATTAAATAATACATTTATAATCTCATAATTGTTTATCAGCATTTTGTTACAAAAAATATTTTAAAGAGTAAAAGAGCTGGAGACTTTGGCTCTAAATTGCAATATAATTGCAAACTGAAATCAAACTGTAGACATTTAAATAATTCTCACCCATCTCCTCATATCAGAGGAAACAAACCCTAAGTTTCAAAGGGATGCTTGTACATACAACCATAGCCCAACCAAACGCATCCCTCCAATAGCAAATACTTTCAAAATAAATAACAATGACAGCATACCTGATTTCCAGACTCTGCTGTCAAAGCATTCATGCTATAGCAAAGCTTGTGATCATTTAAAATTAATAATGGCTATGGTTAATATTGAACATGTATAAAATGGATGATTTTTTATGAATAGAATTTGCAAGCCAAAATTACTGTTTCACTATTGTGTGTAATTAATTTCCAGCATTTTACAAGACAGAGGAAACACAAAAGCATGAAAATGTTCTAAAGATGCAAGCTAGAAAAAAGCAATATAAAATGAAAAGAAATATTGAACAAAAGATAACATTATTTTAAAGGGAAGGAAATACACTCTGACTGGCATAATTTTGATAAATCATCTATAATATTAAAACTTCAAACAGTCAAGTGGAAGTTAAAATGAGGTTAGAAGGAAGGATATATTGAAGTTGAAACTTAAACACACTCAGGATTATGAGAAGATTGAGTATATAGTTTCATTGGAGAAGTCAAACAAAGATATATGGTCATGCATATCAGTATCATCAGAAAATAATCATGACCCATAGATTGGGACTTCCTAATGATAGGAAGAAATGTGATTTATTCTCAATCATAAATTTTTAAGTAATTTGAAACAAAAATCCTTGCTCATGGCTTATAAGTAAATTTAGTTATTATAAAGAAAAGGGGAAAAATAAAGATTAGTCTATGAATTGTAGAAAAGGACCAAGATAGAACAATGCTGTCCATTCTTATTTCACATATTATATCTGTTTGGGCTATAGTAGAGATCCAGTTTGGTGTGATTAAGGCATCAAGTTAGAAACCAGAAGAGAGACTAAGTTCTCATCCCCGTTGGGCACAAAGAAAGCTAGATGGCCTCAATTTAGTCACTTTCTCTTAGTCCTAGGAAGGAGGCAATGCGGTAAACCAATTTTGAAAAAACTTGCCAAAGAAATTACAACAACCTGCTGAAAACTGCAAGAATTGGACATAATTGAACAGAAGGAAAAAAATTACAGTTCTTCAGTGTTGATGAGGTCATGTACTATACTATATTTTAGGATAGTTTAGGAGGAACAAAATAAACTATGTGATACACATCAGTCTCCTCTGATATCTTGATGCTTATCTTTTAGATCTAGAATATGACATCCAAGGAGCTGTCTCATCCTTTTCCCCATATTTTCCAGGTGATCAATGGACAATAGCCTGAGCAACTGTAAACTATTGACTTTGGCATCAAACATACAGAACTGAAGTCTTAAACATACAGAACTGAAGTTATTAAAATATGTTTTTTCTGAGCCTATTGGAGCTGGGAGTGAAATAGCAAAAGTTGCAAATGATACTGACTTACAGTGGTCAAGCAAACTTCAAATTGTTATGTAAGCAGTTAATGGAATTCCAAATATGATAATATTGATTTGTGATTCACTGAAACCTCAGATTTGTTACTTCGCTAGCAAAAAAGAACATGAATATTGCTGTGAAGGGCAATAAGTATAAAATAGTAATGATAATTTCTGGTAACTGCTTTAGCCACATTTCCCAAGTAATGTTAATTAATGAATCAGAAGCTGAAGTAACAGTGTAAGTTATATACCAGAGTCCTTGTTTTACATCATTTTATTGTATTATTTGAACCTTGCCCTATTATAAATGATTGAATTTTAGCAAATTGCAGCTTTTCATAATGTAGATGCCAGTGTATAAGTCCTTAAACGGTATACTGCAGCACATCAGGAAGGCATTATGTTGGGCGAGTCTGGCTTTGAGAAGTTTAAGTTGTTTGATATTAAAAAGCCCAGATTCATTATAGGAACCAATCTGCTAGTTACGGTAAATTGTTGCACAAGCACAAAGTGGTTGGACTACTATTAATTCATGTTTCCAAAAGCTCAGGGATCAACGTTCCCAAGGAACTTTGGAGAATTACTATAGAAAAGTGAAAATCAGATTGAATTAGAGATCTTACAATAGAAAACGGGTGCAGGCGGAACGATATAAGAAAACCTCACATTTTCTCAAGGTTTCAGTGTACTACCAAATAAACAGTAAATTGGTTGGAAAAAGTATATTTGTACTCATAGTCTTTGTACAAAAGATTCTTATTTGAGATGAAAGCAAGAGGGGTGATTAATGCTTTAATTTGCAAGTCAAGCGCACTGATTGAAAGTCTCCTCAGTATTTTCTCCTTAGATTTCTTTTTTTTTTAATTCTGAGAATTTCTGTCATAAGGCTAAAGCTGCCTATATAAAAGAAAGACTTCTAAGTATTGAGTTGATTTAAATATTGCTTTATATTATATCATTCATTCCATTGCAAGTTCTTTACTGGAATTAGAAAGAAGAGAGCAGGTTGACAGTCATTTACTGAATTAGATTTCAAGAGACACTATTATTAAATGACATATATAGCACAC